GAACAACTACTGTTTAGCGAACCCCATCGACATCAAGTCGAAGTCACCACGCGCCAGTATTCAGCGAAAAAATGTTAGAAAAGTAAAAAAAAAAGACAAGAAAATTCTATGAGAATGAAAGAAAAGAGCCGTTGGCAGTGAAAATCAGTGATATGAATTGATAGGCTGCTAGAGACTCGGAGAGACCGAGGGTCCGGCGTGCGACGCGGCGACGCGTCACAGTCGCTGGATCACTGTCACGCCGATGATGAGAGATTCAAATAAAGATATCAAACAAATAAATGCAAAAAACTCATCTCGGTTTGAGGACACGGCCGCAGCAGCGCCAAAGCTGCGGCACGCGCGCGCAGTGCCACGCAGTGCCACGCAGTGCCACGCAGTGCCACGCACGGCGACACGGATTTGAATATTTAAAGGCCGCCCCGCCCCGCGCCCCTCTGGACCCTGCAGTCCAATTCCGAGCAGCACCTCATCTCTCTCGCTCTCACCCCACGACTGCGAGAGAGACAGAGCGACGAATGCGACACCCGGACACCCACCCCTGGCTGCTTGGCTTGGCTGCTCATACGACGGGAGCCGGCGGACGAGTCCGAGGCCTCGAAGGCCCTCCACAAGAACAACATCAACAGCGTCATCACCGTCACCCCTTCCTCCCCCTCCCCTGCCCATCACCCCGATCACCAAACAACACGAATCCATTTTCTATTGTCGCCGGATTATTATAATGGTGATTATGTCCTGGCTGGCTGCTCGAGCAGGAGGCTTACAGCCCCCGGCAGCCGTTTGCTGCAAAGAAGCGGTCCGGGGTTGCTGCGACGCGCTGCCGCTGACATCTCCATCGAACGCGACGCGACCGGCCACGCCTAGCAGAACGCTGTCTCTCTCGCACGCATGGGGCGTGCCCGAAGGCCCGAAGGGTGCGAGAGAGACAGAGCCACGCCCCGCGACGACTAATAGCCGGGTCCGCCGGGTCCGCGTCGTAAATCACCGGGACGAAACGGGTTGGCGGTCGCGTGGCCGCCGTCGCTGTCGACAGGACGACGATGACGCCGAGGTTCAGGTTGGCTGGGTGCTGTCCGGGTTCGCGACGTCACCAGGATGACGCCGAGGTCCAGTCGGCAGCGTGCGCTGCTCAGTTCGACAGCCCCTGGACGACGGCGTGCTCCAGGAGGCCGTCAACCCCGCCGCCCCGGCGCTTCATCTTACTCGCGCGTCCAAGTCACCGCCCCGCCGCGCTGCAGCAGCCTTGGGAGCAGCAGTGCAGCCTCCCCGACGCGGAGCCTTCCGACCCGCTCCCCATTTGAATGCCGCGGTCCCACGAGCCCAGCGCGCCTCGCTGCCGGCCGGATTAGGACCGAGTCATCGCGGGGCGCGTGCCGCGGGGCGGGGCAGGGCGGGGCGCGACCACCGCGACTTTAAAAATAAGATTACTTCCGGTCGTCGCTTCGCTTGCTTCGCGATGCGATGAGAGGTAGGTGCCGCAAAGGGTTGACCCGCAGGCTGCTTTCGGCGCTGTCTCCCTCGCACCTATCACGGGACGGCCCCATGAGTGCGAGAGGGACAGACCGACCGGCTCGTCAACATGCACGTCCTAAACCCATTACTCTCGCCTCTCGCACAAGCGCGTCGAAGCGAGTGCCGGGTTTGTATAAACACATCACCGCCAATCCCGGCACTCCAATCGCCTTTCATTTTAATACGCGGCCAGATTCTATCCCACTCGAGAGCTTTTTTCTAGCCTCTGCTGCTCACTCTGTGAGCGCTCTTGAGAAACTAGTCGTCTGGCCTGCAACTTTGTATTTGTCACCGTTCTGCACAGCAGCCGCCGGGCAAGGACTCTCGAGAGCGGGACAGCCTGCAGGCCGGCTGACGACTTCGAACAGCGCTTTCGTCGCTCTGTCTCTCTCGCACTGACGGCGCGTGTCGTAAGGGTGCGAGAGAGACAGAGCGACGGAGGGACTGGATGGGATGCAGAGCGATAAGGCGATAAAAGAAGTGCCAACGAGAGAAAGAGAGAGAGAGAGAGAGAGAGGGAAGGAGGCGCATAAAGACGAAGGCAATACGGCCGAGGAGGCATTTAATTAAAACCCATTAACGTCTTCATTAGCAGGCCGAGTTTTGAGTCGACGTGCCGCCACTGTCGCGCCTCCCCTGCACCGAGAAAGAAGTTAGGCCGAGCCGAAGAAGAGTGTGCCTCGTTTGGACAAATGAGCAAGACCTGCGGTGTGGGCAGGGCCGGCAGGGCGAAGGGAAGGCCGTCGGCGAGGCGTCAGGGGTACGGCCAGGGAGGCCAAGGCAGCCACCACACGGCGCAGGCGGCACGGCAGTGCCTCGGCAGTGCCTCGCAGTGTGATGTGCAACCAACGCAATCTGCTACATCTCGGCTCGGCGCACGTCTCTCTGCTTATGAGTCGTGCGTCTTGAATATTAAAGCAGCCCCCCCCCCTCTCCCTCACGGGCCGCATTAGCAGCGAGCACGGCGCCTCTCTCTCTCTAATTGCTGCACGGCCATGGCGACACCTAGTTTTGTTTATGGGACAGCGCCTCTTCATTTTCGCAGCTCGTGAAAAAAAAAAACAGCCGAGGAAACACTTAACAAACGACAGCAACAGCAACAAGGACGACCGCAGCCAAAGCAGTGCGCGTTGGCAGTGTAAATTAACGGCGCAGTCGTCAACGTCGGCGCGTTATTCGTTATTCGAGATTCGTTTCCGGCGATCGAGCGGACGACGTCGCACATCCGGCGAGCACCGCGCGCACCGCCGCCAATCCACGCGCCACCTACACTGCCTCCAGCTGCCTCTCCGGAGGGGGAGGGGGTGGCGTCGCCGCGCCCTGTCTCCCTCTCTCGCACCGTGAGTGCGAGAGAGACGGAGCGTCCGAGGGCAGCTCTGAAGGCGCACCTGCCACCGCGGATTACAGGGCGCGGCCCGCGCTTTATTGAAAAGCGAGTAAACACTGAACTGACTTACTCGCTTTTCCCACGCGGAGAGAGGAAGGGGGGGGGGGGGTTCTCGCGCGAGGAGGAGGGGGCGTAGATTTACATTGCCGAAAGCGCGTCTCTCGCGAACGTCAAGAGCGTGGCGCCGAAGAGACGTCGGCGACGACGAGGGGCTTGACGACGTCCCGGCGGATGACGCCTGGAAACCACGCCACCTGGCCGCCCCGGCGCAATGTGGGGCGCAGTGCCGTTGCCCCCCCCCCCTTCCCCTTTCGGCCGCCACGCCCCTTCCTCGTCGCCGTCGTCCCGCGTCGCGTCGCAACGAGAAATAATGGCGCGCCTCGAAGGGCCCGACGCGAGGCTAGGCCGGGCCGCGGGCCCCGGGCGGCCTGACGCGAGGCTAAGCGACGCCGGCCGATCCGCGCGCGTGTTCCATGCAAGGCGGCCGGGCAGGCAGGCCAGGCAGGCCAGGCAGGCCGGGCAGGCTGGGGCCAAGGCAGTGATGCCTATCTCACGGACCGCAACGCGATTAACACTTTATCGTCGGACAGGCAAAGGTAGCCGAAGAGGGGAAGGGGAGGGGAGGGCCTATCGCACCTCAAGGGGAAGGCCCGCGTGCGTGCGTCGCCGCGTCGCCCTCAGCCTCATCGTGTGTATTATTTTACAGTGGAATTACTTGGTGCGGTCGGCCATGCGGGCCATGCCGGGGGGTGGCGCCACTGGCGGTGCGGGGCTCGGGGGCGCCGTGACGGCGACGACGTTTTATTCTTCTTCTTCTTCTACGGCTTCCTCGCTTTTGAACCTCGTTTTCGTCCCTTTTTTCACTTTTCCCTCGCTTCTCGCCGCGCTGCCGTTGGCTCTGCGAGTCCGGCTCGGTGGCCGCGCAGTCCGCGCACCGTGCGAATGAGTTATAGCGATTTGATAACGCGAGGCAAGGCGGCAGGGCGGCGGGGCGCTCGGGACGACTGGCCTGGCCGGCCTCCTTGGCGGCTTTGGTGGCGCTGTTCGCCACGGCCCGGCCATCCAGGCCAGAGGCAGGCAGCTCACATGCGTGGCATGCCTTCGCGACATTGCTCGGATGGACGTGGAAACGCGAATAAAAACCGCGGTAAATCACAAATCGCCTCCCCCCCGGCCTTCGCCTCGCCTTTGCAGCACGGCCGAGCACGGCGCCCTTCTAGAAGTAGTGGTTGTTTTGGACGCTTCGGGCACCGCGCCAATCACGTACACACTCGCAGTCATTCGTCACACACACACACAAAGGCACACACACTGTCTGAGTGTTAGAGATAACTCATCAGCGCGTCGATGCTGCGTCATCCCAAAGTGAGCACATCTCCCTTTTCCCCCAAACCACTCTGCGGCGGCCCCCCTGCTACGCCGCTGGCTCCGTTCGCGATCGTCTGTCCGTCCCCGTCCCTCGCACTGCGATCGCCACGAGTGCGACAAAGAGGGACGCGCGCCCCCCGCGAGCCGCCTCCCCGCGGCGCGCAACACGCCCTCGCCGCCCTCGGCCACTCGGAGCAGAGCAGGAGCGAGAGGGAGAGAGAGAGAGAGAGAGAGCGAGAGAGAGAGAGAGAGAGAAAGCGAGAGAGAGAGAGAGAGAGAGAGAGAGAGAGAGAGAGGAGAGAGAGAAGAGAGAGGAGAGAGGGAGGGAGGAGAGAGGAGAGAGAGAGAGAGAGAGAGAGAGAGGGAGAGAGAGAGAGGAGAGGGAGAGAGAGGAGAGAGAGAGAGAGACCCCAAGGAGCGGCCGTCCCATCCTCTAACGAACGGGGCGGGGCGGCCGAAGGGCGGCAGTAAAGATAACCACGACCACGTGTTGCTGCAGGCTGATTCCGAGCAGTGCTTTCTTCGCTCTGTCTTTCTCGCACTCGCGGGGCCACGGGCGTTCTGCAGGGGGTGCGAGAGAGACAGCGCGAGGGGCGTGCCTAGGCGTGCCGTGGCAGCCGCCCAAGTGGCCGCGGCCGCCGGATCGGAAGTCGGGCCGTCGTCGGAAGCGGAAACAGTTTAGCACCCTCTCGGCCTCGCGGCGCGTCGCGGCGGCGTCTCGGTTACTCACCAGACTCCCGGTCGCTGCGGTCGCTGCGGTCCTCCACCGCGCTGTCGCTCAGCATGTCCACCAGCAGCGGCTCCCGCGGGCCCAGCAGCAGCTCGGCGCCGGCCGGCACATCCTGCGTCGTCTCGTACAGGATCTGCGGAGCACAAACAGACACCAAACAATGAGAAAATGGCCAAAACATAAATTTTGGGAGTGTTGTCGGCGATGAGCTTGCCGAGGACGCCGACGAGGCCGTCGGGAAGTTGGAGGCGACGGTGTCGTGACAGAGCGCCGTGATGGCGGCGTTGTGGCGGTGGAGTGCATGTCTGCATGTGGGAGGGGGAGAGAGTCGATCTCGCCGAGGGAGGATGCCTGCACTTGAGCCCCCGCCGAGCCAACCCCGCCTGCACTGCAGAGGGGAGGGCCCGCCGACACGAACGGGCCGAGAGCGTGGCGAAGCGTGGCGAAGCGGGGTGACCTCGTAAGCCTTCTGGCGCCGCCCCTGGCTGGGAAGGGGCTGGCGCGGCGCGGCACGGCACGGCTTGACCCGGCGGAGAACAGGTTGACATTCACAAATCGCATCATGCCCCGAGTTTAACCACTTCCGTGCGGCAGCGGCAGCGAGATAACGGTGCAACGTATTACATAAGTCGGGCCGGTGGAGGGGGTGGGTCATATCGACCTCGGCAGCTTGGTGTACTCGGTGGTGTGCTCCAGAGTAGTTACGCGGCGTAGGACGTGCAATTATCATCATTATGCGACCGCGGCGGACCCGCGGGGACCGGCGGGGACCGCGCGGCCGTCTTGACGGAGCGGCGCGGCGGCGACCGGCGGCCTCCGCGACGACGGCGTGCCCGCGTCCGCGGCCACGACAATGAAATACAATGTGGCTCCCGGTTTTACGGACGCGCTGCGCGGGCCATATTCCTCCTACGACGTCCTGCCAGTCCTGCCAGCTCCGCCAGTGCCGATAAGGAAAGCAGTTTGCGCGGCCATCATCAATCCCGGCGTGCTCCGCTTTCAGCGGCAACATTCAGCGAATGGCCCTGGGAGAGGCTAGAGGCCAGTGAGCGCCCCGAGCCTTCGCCATCGCTCAGCGCCCGCGCGCCGCGCGCCGTGCGACGCGAGGGTAGGCCACCCGACCGCAGGCGCGTCCCCGGGAGGGCCTACTCGCAGGGGGCCTCCTCCCAGGGGGCCTCCTCGCGCATCCCCGCGCCGCGCAGCGCATCCCGACGAAGACAGCACGGCACCGCATGCCGGGAGCTCTCTACCAGTCGATGGAGCTCGATTCGAACGCATGGCGGAACCAATGCATTCCTCGTGAAAAGGGCAATCCGGCGGCGCCATCGCGAGTTTGATTCTAGGGATTGGTACACAGTCAAAATCAGAACACGTCCGCATAAGTGTCAGCGCCCCGGCTGCCGCACGCTGCCTCACTCTCCGGGCGCGGCGCGCGGCCGCCATTTTTGTGTGTTCATTTTGTGCTGCCGCCCCGCCTTGCCGCCCCGCCTTGCCGTCCCGCCCTGCCGTCTGCCCGCGGGATAAGCCAGAAAAGTGACGGCGGATAACATCGCGGCCACTTAGCGTTCCTAATTCCGGACAGGTTCATTTTGCCGGCCGGGAGTTCGCCGCGTTCCGCCGCCAGATGGCGCCACCGCCCCGCCCGGCCCGGCCGTGGAGGCAAAGTGACAGTAATTGCGAGGTTACGACTCTGGCAGAGGAAGGGGCAGCCGCCGCCGTGCCGCCGTCTCGGCCGGAACCTCCCCGGCGGGACGGGCGCCACTTTTTAGAGTGTGCGGCGCGGACTTGACTCGCCGTACTTTGATAAGGCTGAGGGATTCATTTTCTTATAGCGGGGCGGCCAGGGCTGGCCAGGGCTGGCCAGGGAGGCGGCAGTAAATTCCTGGGGCTGCCCGCCCGCCCAGCCCGCGGGCCACTCGCACGTTTATGGTTCGGCTCTGAATATATGTCCGAGGATTGTTTACGCCGATGCGGCTCTGCAGTGAGCCCAGCAGACAGATTCTGATAAGCAGTGCCTTTGTCGCTCTGTCTCTCACGCATTGGGCGTCCGGCGGGGGTGCGAAAGAGACAGCGACGAACCACCCCGGCCGCTCGGCCCGCGGGACGTGCTTCAATGCCCTCATTAGGCTGAGGTTCAAACACCGCGTCGTTTATTTTTTTCGGGGTGTTGTCTTTTTTTTTGTCTCGACACGATCATGCTGTGCTAATCCTTGGGAAAAGCCTGTGGCGGCGTGGCGGCCACCGAATTGGACCACTTACGGCCGAGTGCTAAAGCAGAGGGATCCGCGGCGCTGCACGTGCCCCCCCCTTTCCCCCTCCCCCTCGGCCACGCACCCTCCGCCACGTTTCCGGCCCATTGCCCCGCGCACCGCCGTGGATTCCCCCGACCAGAAACTTTGCCGATTTCTTCCTCAGCAGACGACGGCGACGTCGACGACTTTTTCGATCCCTCCGCCGCCACTGCGACTCACCGCGCCGCCCCGCCGACCCTCCGGCCAGCCATCGCGGTGGCGTCAGAGTCCTTCTGTCTCGAGTTTTGTGTTTTACGACATAAGTCACGCACTCGGCCGCGCGACGCCGCGCGGTACGTCGGGATCGTTAGACTGCGGGGAACTGTGCAGTCGGCCCTCGCCGCTTTGTTTCTCTCTCTTTCCCCTTCGCACCCTGACGCGCCGCCCCACGAGCGTGCGAGAGAGACAGCACTTTTTCGGAGTCAGCCTGCCGGGGCGCGCCCGTCGACCCTTCATATTCTTCGCCCATTTTCCCCCTCGTCCGCTGGGCCTGGCTGGGCCTGGCGATGGGCTTCTGGGCCTGCTCGGCGTTCTCGGGCTCGCTGGAGAGGCCGCCGCCCGGATTAGCCCGGACGACCCGCGCCAGATTTCCAATAAATTGCTGCCTGCCTGCCTGACCCCGCGCGGCCAGCCAGGGCTGGCAGCCACTCCACCGGGCAGCCGTGCGCCGCCACGCTCTTGACCCAACACTTATCACGAAACTCCTGAAGGGACAATTTCTCAGCCGCGAGGAAAAAGGGAAAAAAAGGTCGAAAAAAAGGGGAATATAATGAAGCCCGATAGCCCGGCCGGCTGGCCGCGGCTGGCCGGCTGGCAGTAGAGGCGCCGCCTCGAGAGTTACGGCGCCTTCAACGCGCAATCCCAAATTAATTTTTACAGCGCGGGAAAAGTCCTTTCGGCGCGCGGCCGCCCCGCCCGGGCTGGCGGCACACACGCCGGCACACCTCGCGATTAGCCACCACACTGCAAGCCCCGCCCCGCCCCGCACGCCCCAAAGCCCGATACGCCCTTTCACGGCTTATTCAGCCCGTCTCGTGACCGGCTCCGAGAACAACACGGCAGAAAAGAGAAACACACTCACACAGACCAGCCCCTGCAGCGGGGCACAAGCTAGTTGAATAAATTTCCGAACGACATTCTCTGTGTGCAGCGCGATGGGGGTGCCCCGTGGGGGTCACGCAGGCCGCGGGGCCGCAGGGGCGTCAACCAGCGGCGCTAATATCACCTGGCGTCAGCGGAACACACAGTGTCGCGCAGAGCACACCGAGCCGGGGAGGGGGAGGGGGAAGGCTAGGGGGAAGGGGCGCATGAATTGTTAAGGGGTCCGTGATTGCCCTTGTGCCCAATGGTCATTAGGTGGCCGCGGGGCTGGCCGTGGGGTTGGCTCGTGGCTCCCGCGGCAGGCCTCGCGCCGCCTCGCGCGCGCACACACTCTCACAGGCACACACAAACACACACACACACAAACCATAACTGGTGCACGTACACACAATTATCACGCCACCGTATCAGACAGGGGCGTGCGTCCCTGCACTCCGTGCACGCCGTGCCTGGCGGGGAGAGGCCGCGAGGCCGCCACACACGGTGTAGGCGCCCTTGTTCGTGTGGCGCCACGCCCCGCCCCGCCCCGGCCAACCCGATCGCGGCGCCAATTGGTCGCTCGCCCGACCGTTTGTGCTCCTCCCACGCAACAGTTTGCAGCGGCAACGCAATTTTCCACGCAAACATCGTGTCACCGGGGGAGTTACACGACGATGGGCGACCACACATACACCCACACCGCACGCACACAGACACACAGACACACACACAGAGCGCGCAACAGCCATGCTCAAGGGCAGCACTACAGGGCCAAAACAATGAAGAATGAGATGGTACTCACCGTGCTGCCGTGCAGGAAGGCGCGCGCGTTGCGGGCCTCGGGCCTGGACGAGGACCTCACGAACTTGAGCCAGTTGGCGCGCTCGGCCGTGGCGTCGCAGTAGCAGCGGATGGACAGGCCGGCCATCCGCACCTGGAGGACAAGGACAAGGGGACCATCAGGACGGTGCACGGCGTCGACCCCGCGCGGCGCCCTGTCTGTCTCTCTCGCACCCCTGCGGGATTCCCCGAGTGCCCGAGAGAGACAGCACTGTTCGGCATCAGACTGGCGGCAATTACCCTCGCCGTCATCTCGCGCGCGCCGAGGCGCGTCGCCGTCGGACAAAGTCGCACTACCACAATTAAGATGAATGCGCAGAGTACATTTGCGGGGCGCGTGGCGTGGCGCGGCGCGGCGCGGCGACCCCAAGCAGAGCGCTAGCAGAGCGCCACCCTGGCGGCGGTCCGACGGTCCTCCCTCCCATCGCTCTCCCATCCCGGCAGGCCGTCATCCGGGGAGGGAGGAGGAGCCTCGCTATCCGCCCCGCAGTCCCGGCCCGCAGTCCCGGCCCGCGCCACGAAGCGCCGCCGCCGCCCCCGCGCCCGCGCGCCCCGCCGCGCCCCGCCGCGCCCCGCCGCGCCCCGCCGCCCGCTCCGCAGACTGCGGTAAGCCACGGCCCGGCGTTCCGCTTGGCCAATAGAGCGGATCCCGCGCGTCGACTCGACTCCTCCATCGCCCTCCTCCGCCGCCACCTCCTCTTCAGCTTCCCAGCTCCGGGCGGCGAGAGTGAGAGTGAGAGAGAGGGAGGAAAAAATGAGGCGGGACGGATTTCGCAAACGACCAGGCGGCCCAGCCACTTTTCAAACTTTTTACGGAACTCTTTCCACCGCGAGGAGAGAGGGCGCGGTCGGGGGTTGGGGAGGACGCGCGCCGAGGACGACGACGACGGCGTGGACGGGACGGGAAGGGAAGAAGACGAGAGGCGTAGAAGCGCATCGGAACATGCATCGCCACTCAGGCTCCCCGCCCCACCCCGCCCCGCCCCGCCGCGACCGCCCCTCGGCAGGGCAGGGCGTCCGCCGGCCGCCCGGGCGGTCCATACATCACCCCGGGGCCGAGGCCGAGGCCGGCGAAGCGGGCCGCCCGTCCCGTCCCTCCCCGTCATACTCCTTCCAAGCCGGGAAGCCACCGCGGCCCGGCCGACGGACTGGTACCGCACGGCGGACTCCCCATAAGTGCGAGGGACATGGCGAGGCGGCCGCGGCCCAGGCTCCGGGCAGGGAGCGCCGCGAAGGTAGGCAGCCCAACGGGCACCTCACCTGGCGGCGGGCTTCGCGGCGACGCCGCCAGAGGGCGACACGCCGCGGCGGGGGCGGCGGGGGCGGCAGGTGGAGGGTGGCGCGAGGGTGGCGCGCGGTGGCGCCCTCGCCGCGGAGGGGGGCGGAACTACTACAGCGAGGCGGGGGCGGCGGGGCGGCTGACAGGTGAAGCCCACCGAGTCATAACGGCGACCACGCCGGCGAACTGAAGGCAGAAGCCGCACGTGGCTCTTAGTTTGAATGGACGCGCCGTCGCGGAGGTTCAATCCGCCGCGAAAAAACAGTGTCCGGCTGAAGCCAGGGCCGTACACCGCCGTGCAGACCCTGGAGGGGGAAGGGGGGACTTGCGGGGACCCCCCGCAGGGTGCGCAAGAGGACGGGGTGGCTTGGGCGTGGCGGGGCGTGGCGGGGCGTGGGGGCGGGGGGCGTGGTGGGCCGGGACGCGCACCGCGGGGAATGTTGACACTCGGCGCGGCGGGGCATCGCGGCGCGGGGCGCGGCGGGAGGGCTGGGCGGTGCGGCCCTTGCAACAGGCTCGGACGGAAGACCCCTCCTGCAAGGCCACTGTGGACGAACTCATCTACCCTACAGCCTTACAGTGTAGCGTTGCATGCGCAGCAGGCTGCAGGCTGATTCCGAACCGGGCTTTCGTCGGCCTGCCTCTCTCGCACTCTCGGGATGTTCGACGAGGGGAGCGAGAGAGACGGAGCGACGAAATCTCTGTTGGGAAGCGCGCTGCTGGAGAGCCACTTGCTCATAACAGGGCCGCTACGGCCCGAGGCAGGGAAGATCACCAAAAGGTCAAGCAAGCTACCTACGCGTCTACGGACTACCAGGGACTACGCAACTCAGCGGGGGCGCCTCTAAGCCCAGAGCTCGCTCGCACACCATTCACACTACACAAACTCACACACACACGCACACACACGCACGCGCCTTCCAAGTCGTCTTCCTTCCAGCGCAGCCGTTCCGAATTTATTAAAAAACGGAGAAAGACACGCGCGCGCCACAATTTGTCATCCTTAATATCAACTCGACGAGGCCATAAATTGGCCCGCTATCTCAGGACGTGCGAGTGAGACAGAGACAGCGAGACGAGGGCGAGGAAGACGGAGACAGCTGCCCGGAGCATCTGCATGGAGTCTCTAATCTCGGCCGGTAATGGATCTCGGGGCCTCGGCATTATGCGCGCGATATCGCCTATTCACAGGGCAACACCTCGCAGCCAGCCCGAGCTGGCAGCCTCGCCATGGGAACGCGGGGACCTCCTTTTGTCGCCTCGGATCAGCGATGATGAGGCGGCAGAATACGAGACTGGACCAGAAACCTCCCCCACCCCTCCCCCTCCGCTGGCAGTCTGGCTGGAGTCTGCGGTCCAGCAGCCGCCAGCACGCCGCCAGCGGCCCGTCCAGAGTCCGGATCGGTTTCGCCGTTCCGTGGAAGTGTCACGGCAGCGTCACACACTGCGAGGGGAGGCGGGGGTCGACGGCAGTGTCGCTGACTGAGCTGCCGGACAGCGCACGTCAAGATGGAGACAGCGCGGCCAAGACAGGCGCGACAACATTCGAATATTTCGTGTCGACGGAAAAAAGTTGTTCACACTTCTGTTTGATGTTTGCTGTCTGTCTGTCGGTGTGTCTGACTGTCTGTCTGTCGTGTTCAAGCTTCAAGCCGTTCCACAGCTCGCAAATCTCAATTAAATTTAGGGTAGGGGGAACCACGCGTGGCCTAACACGCTGCGGGGTATTCGTCCTCATCTGGATCCGTCACTCACTCACACGCACACACGGCCGGCCGTCGTCCTTCCTGGACACGGCCCACAGTGTGCCCACAGTGTGCGCGCAGCGGCCGGTGCTTCCTATTCACACGGACGCACCCACACTGGCCTACACACACGTACTCAGGTAGATAATCACATCGCTCTCTTTTCTCGTCCCGAATTTGCGACGGAATGGAGTCTCGGCCGTTCTGCGTCCCTCGTTCCGGGTGACTGGCCAGGGCTTTACAGTGGCACAGCGCGGGGGCGTCCGAGCGTGCGGGGCTGCTTAGGGCTGCCGTGTGGAGGCGTCGGCCCGAGCGGAGTCAGCGCGCCACCGCTCAGACTGATTCAGAGAGTCGTTGTCGTCGCTCTCTCGCACCTACACGGAACGTCATATGAGGGCGAGAAAGACAGAGCGGCGAAAACGACCGAGCGGAGGAGAAAATGAAGAAAATTGAAATGGAGCGCCGCAGGGGTGGCGCCCCCGAGTGGCGGCATCGCGCGGCGACGCTTCTTGATTCACGGCGAAGCGCTTCCCCTCCGCGGCGCGGCACGGCACGGCGTTAATCAAAGTTGTTGTCGGGCGGAGAACACGGGTCCGGAGACGGAAACACTACCGCACTCGCCTCAATAGGTCCCCGGGGCCCCGGCGCCTCCCGACCGCTCCCACACCTTTCTCCCGCCCCGTCCGCCGGCCCATTTGACTGTCTGTCTGTCCGCCTGCTCTGTATATCTGTCCGTCTGTCTTTTTGCATATGTCCGGATGTCAGTGCCGCCTGCCTGTTTGTCTGTTTGTTTGTGCTCTATGTCTCTCCACCGGTCCGTCCGTCCGTCCGTGTGACGTATCGGCATCTGTCGAGGAACTTCAGTCGGATGCGCCGGCAGAAAAGAGACAGGTCTGTGTGGTATGACACGGCCTGACATGGAGGACAAGAATAATATATCGCCTGGGAGAACACGAAAAGGGGTTCGCGTCTTATCGTGCTCCCTCACCCCTATCATCGCCCTCGCGTAGGTGTGCTGTGCGTGCGTGTGTCTGTGTGAGTGTTTACACCTTTCGACACGCTCTGTTGCATATCAGGGGCACCAACACACACACACACACCTTTCCACCCCCGGCGCAGACAAGAAGGGGTTGCAAGTTAAACAAATAAGGCAGAAAGTTTCGCTCCACATTCAGATAAACGACAAGACAGTTGAATTAAACGGGAATCCGCGGGCGGAAAGTGATTGGTTCAGCGATCTGCAGCGGAGGAGGCGAAGGATGCTTCCGTGCTGGATCGGGGCGTGTGCGTGCAGGACAGTACAGTGTGCGTGCTCGCCAAATTTTCCGTCAAAGGATTACACGGGATTACTGGGCGGCTTATCTGGGCCGAGTCCCTATGCCGTGCGTGCACGCGTTGTGTGTGTGTGTGTCCCGCCCCACGTCGCGCTACTGGGCACCGCCAAGACGAGATGGATCAATGAATGAGGCGTAAGAAAGGGCGAGGGATGAGAGAAAGAATGAATGGAAGAGGATATGAATGCGCGCGGGGCCCGTCGCCGGCCTGCCTGTGGCCTGTCGGGGACGTTGTCGGGGACGTTGTCGGGGAGGATAGAGGACTTCTCTGGCTTCCGCGCGGAAGCAAGCAAGCAAAGCGATATGGCGGTGTCCGTCATAAGGGATGCCACCTGGGCGTGCGCTCGTGTGTGAGTGAGTGTGTGTGTGTGTGTGTGTACGTGCGTGTGGACAGTATCGCATGGGAAGCCCCGCCGCTGGAAACGGGGATGACCGACTGAGATTGTGCTTCAAGTGGCGGGCAAACATGATCTAGTCTGCTCATCACCCTCCCCCCTCGGGGACGCGGACAGGTGCGCCTCACGCGCGCGCTTCTTTGTGTTCGGTCTTCACTGCGGAGCGAGCGAGAGAGAAAGGGGGAGCGTGGTGGCAGCACACCGCGGGTTGTAGTGCGGTATTTTTTTTCTAGGTTAGGCGAGGCTCCTTGCTGTCCTCATCAGATAGCGGCGCCACTAACAAGGCCCGAGGGCCGCGGGGGGAGGCGCCAACAACTCCAATCAGGAGGGAAGGGGAGGCG